ATGCCACCATCTCACTCTGAGAAGCTACTCAGACAATTTGTGTGGTTTTTCACAAGCATGGAATGCACTTTACAGGAAATCAAGATTGGTTTTAAGAACTGAAGCATGCCAAATTTCATAAAAAATGGTGGTGGAGATTTTGAACTACCCTCCCTTAGGTTTTGATGATGTTATTTTAAAAATTGCATAAAGTTGTCATTTTTGGACAGGGAGTAATGACATGTGCTGCAAAAATGGGCCCTTGCTGTGTACATTTCAGGTAGACAAATTGTGTATGTGTATATGTGTGTGTGTGTGTGAGAGAGTAAAGGTTTGAAGGCATAATGATGCCCTTTCCAGTATATAATAGAGCATAGTGTCAGAGCTGAGACTAAAGCGAAGTCTAACTTATTTTTCCTTATATAGCTGTTAAATCAATCAGGAGGAAAAAACAGACACAAAATTTCTTTTTTCTTCCAAGAATGGAAAATGTAAAACAGTGAGGGGAGTAAATGCTTAAATAAGGAATTTTTCTGGTTCTTTCCACTCCACTCTTGAATATACTGTGATTGAAGAAAACATGGCAATCTGATTGCTAATTCAATGCTCCTTTCCCCTCTTCTTGCCACTAAGATGTTTTATGAGAATAAATTCCCAAAGGGTTCCCCCCCACCCCCAAAGGAGGGCAGTTTCTAAATTACAGGGATGCTGATTCAATTTTGTGTTATGGAAAGCCAGTTAGAGTAATCTAGTCTTTTACAAATGTGTTATAGATGATACTGAACTGGCCCAAATTGCTCTGGGTTCAAGAGTAGCAATGAATCTGAACACAGTGCTGTTAAAAAGATGAGTAAAACCCCTATATCTCCTTTCATGGTTGCTATGAGCTATCAGGTATTTGAAATAGCAGACAATGAATCCCCATGTTTTTCTTACCACAATTAGGATTGGCTATACCAGCTCCTAATCTTTGCATATCTACTGTATACAGCAGGGCTGTCAACTCCTGGCCCGCGGGCCGGATACGCTGGCCATACCCATGCCCGGTTTAGTGAAGGGGAAAAAAGTCCCGATATGTCATGTGACGCCACTGTGACACTGTGAGTTTGACAGCCCTGGTCTACAGGAATGGACGTAGCTTTCCTTCAGCTATTAAGTTATTATTAATTTTACAATAACAAATCAATTGTATTTTTTAAAATTAGAGGTTTAAAATTATTTCAGCAAATTCTTTTTTAATTTTAAAAACAGATCAGCCACCTAAAAGATATTGGTTGTGATTGCACACAAAACTCCACAGTCAAAGTGAAGTAATCTTAACCCATTTTTCTGGGTCTACACAATACACTGATCCATACTAATCATACTGGATGAATTTGCACACTGAGCAGGTTACATCTATAATTCAATGTGATATGCAAACACAGTCACTGAGTTGAGGAAAGCTGATTTAAATTAATGGACTGCTACCTCTTGGATAAAATGCAAATAATTCCTAATGTTATTTTAAGATGTTGTGTGTTTGTGTGTGTATCACTGACAAAGAAGGGAATCATGATGGGATGATGAAGTATGATGGAAAGAGTTTTCCATTGTGCTGCACTGAGAGAATCAGCTGAACTTCAGTTCACGTATATATATTTAAATTAAAAAGTTATTTTTATTTTTGTCTTCTAATCCAAAATAAATTGTATTTAAAAAACCTAATTCTACATTTCGTCCATATATCAGGGTGCTTCCACCTCAATAACATAACAGGATAATTTAGAGGAATGTCACAGAGTTGGCTATATGTTAATAAGTGATATTTCACTATCACTCTTTTCCTCTGTTATTTTGTTTCATCAGATTCCCACAAGTCCCTAGAAATAATTTCTTTCAAAGCTTAGAGCAGGGGTCCCCAACCCCCAAGCCATGGACCAACACTAATCTGCAGCCAGCCAGGAACTGGGCCATGCAAGTGAGTGAAGCCCCATCCACGCACACATGGGATCCAGGCAGCACATGAAACCATGCCACCCCTCAGTCTGTGGGAAAACCACCCTCTATTGAACCGATCCCTCAGGCCCAAAAGGTTGGGGGGCACTGGCATAGAGACACACCAACAACACTCCACTTGTATAGCCTAGAGCTCCCAGCTAAAACCATTCAAAGAATTGTCTACAGCCCCTTTAGAGAATGACAATTCCCTTTCATAAACCCTTAGCTGGAAAGCCTTAATTTGCTAATAGAGAACCATTTAATCCAATACAGCTGCTACTTAAAAATAATAGAGCAGACCACAATAACAATGATCCTGCAGTATATCTAGATGCCAGTTCTGACCCCATATTTGCTGTGGTAATGCTATCACAGAATGTTATTATATTACATACATTAGGGGACAATATTTTTGCTCATTTACCAGTGCCATATATGCATTTTTCTCTCAGCAATTCTTCTATTAAATTTTATTTCAGACAATCCAACCAGTTTCTGCACAAATATTTTAGGGCTATCAAATGTACTCTAGAAAATCTGGATAGAAGTGAGATGGCAGTAGAGTTAGGGTTTTCTCTACCTCTTTGCAGCTATCTGATAGTTTTCCAGGTGTTTGCAGTCCTATCTTTGCCTTCCGCAAAAAGATAAATGGACACAAATTTGAAATTTCAAATGACAACATACTGAAACCAATAAGGGAATATTTTAATTTCCTGTGAAACTGTATCTCTATCTTCAAGGTAGCATCATGTGAAAAAGTGAACTACAAAAGATTTAAACAATGGAATTCAAGCTCACTTGAAAAGTCATTGCTATTCTCATGAATTGAATATGGACCAAGGCTTTTTGGCACACTAAATTCCTTCACTTCAATGCTAAAATATCCATGTCAATTATTATGACAATTTCATGTTTAGTCATTTCCAAATTGCATATTTCACTTCTCTTTTTATTACTTCCTCCTTCTCCTAACTGTAACCACAGCTGTGGGTATATACTATTTAGGGAATATAAATCTTGTGCAATAAGAGATGTTTTGGTCTTTAAGGGTCAGAAGATTCTTGACTGCTACAGGACTGAGAATGACCTATGCCACTATTTTATTTAATACAGCTCTTTAAAAAGTCTTGGTTTAGGGGAGTTTCTTGTTTCCCATCTAAATTCTGTAGAAGAATTCATGGCCTCTGGTGTTAGATTAAAGCTAACTGATACCTTAAACACAGTCTAACAATGGTGCCCCTTGTCTCTTCCATTACTTAACTGACAAGACATCATCAGAATTTTTTTCAGGCCATCCTATAATTATATTAAAACAAACTTAAAAAAATACATTTAACACTAAATAGTAAACAATATAAGCAGGATCATTACTTGTAACTAGGGCTATAAAATTTTTTTATTTAACATTTTAATGCATTTTTATTAAAATTGTAAAGGAAAATGCAAATAAAAAAAATTATTGAAAATTAAATTTGAGTGTGACAGGGAAAGAGTTAAGGGCATGATAACTAGGGGAAGAAGCGCTATGGCACGGGTGTCACTTTGCCATCACATGACGTTTCATGATGTTTTTTCCCTTCACGGACCTGGGGTGGGCATGGCCTGTGCATGACGCATCCGGCCCGTCAGTTTGACACGCGTGTTCTATGGTGCCTCACTTCCCTTGGTTAATGGTTAATCCAGGGCTGATGATCTCATTGAAGGACAGATGGGACAGTTTAGCTGTCTGCTAGATGGAATTTTTTTGCTTGGAGAACCAGAACAGGATGGAATTCAGGCGGATGAATTATAAGAGTGGAGATTCCAGAGAGCTGATAGTAGGTTGCTTGGATATTGATGATAGCCATGTGCAGGAAATTATGTGTTATCCCCAACCACTAGTCTACGTGAAAGTTGCCCATTTTTTTTCTATTGGTGCACCTGTGATGCAAGGAAATAAGAAAATCAGCAGGTGAAAATTTTCCCATGCTACAAGAATCTTTCTTTATTAAATTCCTTCTTTATATAGAAACAAACTGAACTCATTTGTGCCTTTTCTGAAAAGATTTAGCAACCCTGTCTACTTTTTGATCTATTATTGTTATATCGTCTTTAGATAAATACTGATTTCTGAGTTCCAGCAGATGGTGCTCTGCAGTGTCTTACTTAATAATCTTTATTTATTAAGTAATTTATAAATTTATTTATTATTATTATATAATAAATAATCTTTATTTATTTTATTAAACCATTATATTATCCATTGCATTAAGTATCAATGATTAATCATTATTAAGCATCAATAGAAATGCAAAACAGAGAAAATCACTGCAAGTCACAATATAAACTCTGTAAATGAAAAAAAATTGTATTGTTTTGTTTTAAAGAAGGTGTATCCTTTTATTCTGCATAGGATTTCAAATCTCTAGGATTGCATCTTGATTTTAGTTCAATATTAACACCAATTTATTGGTAAAATACATATGTTATAAACTGTGTTTGAAAAATGCTGTTATTATCTTTGTGGCAATGTTTTAAGTATTACATGAATTCTCTGCTTTCATTAAGAATTCAGATTGTTGCTGCCCTGTTTTGGGAGCTCTAAGGTGAATGATATCCCTTGAATTTTTGTGCAACTGATTGATATTCCATCCACTTGTATTCATGTCTTTATTTTCTTATGCACTATTCTCTCCTGTGGTACCTTGAATATTTGAGCTCTTATAATTTGCAAAGTATCTAATTTTATAGGAAGAAGAATAAAAGTGATGGGAGAAAAGTGGGAGAGTCTGTACTGTGCACATAGATTAAAGAGAGAAGTATTTCTCCTTGACCCAGGGAAGTGCTCCTGCATGCTACGTTGGCTGCAGTTTAAAGAGCAGGCTGATTATCTCAAATACCAGGCCATCCTGGAACAGACTGAGTCACCCCCTCCGCCCTGTTCTCCCCAGTGGAATTAAGGGGATGCAGTCAGCAGCAGCTGCAGGGATAGCTAGAAGTGTTTCATTTGCGTCAGTTTGCAGTGGAGCTTGATGGGGCTGTTTTCAGGGTGCTTTTTAACTCTCTGTGACTGGCAGGTGCATGATGTCACAATGAGGTTAGCTATCTCGCAAAAAAGATGGGGAATGACATGGGAAGCAATTTAGGATTAACAAAGAGATATGGACATCAAAGCGCAAAGTGACAGCTCCGGTCACACTGCAGAGGCAGAGAAATGCAGGAATGCTTTTTATACACTTTCTGGAAAATTGTTTTCATTGCCCAGATAAACTATCTACAGAAAGGTCATGAAAAGTGCGAATCTAGGTAAGGCTAATGTTGATTTTGGTAGGTCTGATTGTTATGCTCATTTTAATTACATAACCTTTTATAGTACAGTAAATTAAAGGGAACCGTTAATTAGAAGGTTGAGGCACTGGGGAGGGTTTAAAATATATATAATTTTAAGGTTATAATCCTTATACAGCTTAAATGTACAATAATGGTTGGAATGGTGAACTTTACCTGTTACAGGTTTTCCTTTACTTTAGCACAGCTGAATTAAGGAGAGAGTTTGAATCCTGTGCAGGAGGCACATATATCTCTGAATCTTTTTTGGGGGGCAGGGGGGTGTCCCCGAGTCCCCACGATTGTGCTTGGCTCTCAAGCAATAAAATAACTTTCCAACTATTTTTAGTAGAAAACATAAAAACCCACTATTTAGGTTTAAAATTCCTTTAAAACCTAAGAAAAAAATAATCTGCCCCCAAAGTGGCAAAGGTTGACTGAGGCATCCAGGGTGTGCGTGGGTGTGTCCAAAAAGGCAAGATCATACACTCATGAATGCACAATTGAACCTCTCCCTTTTTTGAAGTGCGTCATGCACATTAAAAAGAGACATGCTTTGATTGCATGGTTGTGGCCACCATCCTGAATTTCTGCTTTTGACCTACACTATTGATTTTTTTCCCCTCTCCCCCACACCCAAATGTGATTCCTGGCTACTGAAAAGTTGTGCATCTTGTCCTAAATAAGCAAATTTAGAATTGTAGTGCAAATGGTTTTTAGTCCAGTCCTTGGGGAAGGAAGTATTTTGTAGTGTTTGAAGAACTGAAATGCCTGTGATTGCCGTTTTAAACCCATTTGATGGGAATTATATTCCAACACATGTAGTCAAGCAAGGCCCTCTTAAACAATATTAATGATCCAGTCTTCTTTGTTGTTTGTGTTTGTTTCAGTCTTAGAAAAAGATTAGTTGCTTATAAAATGGTGGATTTGTATCATGGTCCATAAAAGTAGGGAGAACATCTGCTTATCCATTGTCAGTCTTGTTTGGCTGCCATTTTGAGTACATCAGAAGTGCTATTCACCTATGTCACATAAATCAGCACCAGAGATTTTGTCAGGGATGTCCTCTGGTGTGCCATTACCAGTTGTTTAATATCTCTCAAAACAATTTAACCTTGCCATATTGAAACATATTGAAAGTTCTTTTCATTAACTATCATAGCGTCTGAGATCTAAAATCTTTTCTTATCTCGGGTTCAAATTTTGTTCTATTTCTTGATTCCATATGTATCCCATTAACTTTTTTAGAGCGCCAAGTTGAATTTAGACATATAAATGGAACTAAAAAGAAACCTCTTACCACTATTTTGAATGGGAACAAATTAATGTGATCTGCCAAAATAGATTCTACTGTGGCAGGAACTGGCAACAATGAATACATCCCACTGGCCTTTATTTTTTTTATTTTTATTTTTTATTTTTAATTTGATTTATATGCCGCCCTTCTCCGGAGACTCAGGGCGGCTTACAATGCATTAAGCAATAGCCTTCATCCTTTTGTATATTTATACAAAGTCAGCTTATTGCCCCCACAAACTGGGTCCTCATTTAACCTACCTTAGAAAGGATGGAAGGCTGAGTCAACCTTGAGCCTTGGAGAGATTCGAACCAGCAGTAAATTGCAGGCAGCTGTGTTAATAACAGGGTGCTTTAAACCACTGTAGTACCAAGGCTCTTCTTTATCTTTATCAAGCATTTAAATGATAAAATGTGTATTTCAGGAAGGTATGTCCAAAATGACACATGCTATAAGTCTGTACATCATTTATGAAGTGAACATTAGACTAACATTAGTCCACATGGTTGTGGACTGCTGGTAGCACACTATAAATTGCAGAGCAGAAAGACTATTTCTTACTGCTTGGATGGTGAGTTCTACATTGGTTCTATGGCTAGAATAGGACTTCAGTCTGCTGAAGAGAAGGTGAAAGGGGAATAAATTGGGCACTGAACTTGAGTCTTCCATCTCTAACACCATACACCAGTCATTAAATGACATATATCTAGAAATACAGATTCTTTGTCTCTGAAATCCTTTTCATTCCCATTTTTCAGAGAAGAAATTAAATTGACCCTATCAGCCATTGAATGATACGATCTGCTAAAAATGAGCCAGAACCTTCAGCATAAACTACTACATAAACTACTCAAAGTGGAGTAGCTACATTCTCAGGCAGGAGCACTTGGGAAAAATGTCTTCACATGGAAGACCTTCCTGTTCTTTGTGCCATTACTGTGGTCTAACAGGCACTGTCCTAAAAAAGGGTTAGTTTTCTTTTTATCTGGTTGCCTTGAGGACACCACATTGTAGTCTTGCGATTCAAAAGAACCAGGAGGATTTAAGACTGTTCATTTCGATTACCTCATTTCTTTAGTGTCAGGATGTCAAATTCTGTGATAGAATCAAAAGAAACCAACTACTGTTATCACTGAAGTGCAAGTGATGTAACATTTTATCTACCAGATAAGAATATCTTCTCTATCAGTTAAAACATGCTGCTGCCATCTCATCAATTTTTTTCTATAATTTTATTTAACCATCCCTGAAATGTTATTGCATGTTTTACTCTAACTTTTCAGTTAAATCATAAAAGAGAAGTTGACCTGATCTATGTGTTGTTCCTGCACATAAAAGGGGGAAGGGGGAAAGTAGATCAGAGTCTTCAGAAGAGAAAAATGGGACCCTGTCTAAATGCAGAGGCATAAATGTTAATGAAGAAATCGGTATGTTCAATGAAGAAGAAACTGAATTACAAAAAAGATAAGCAACTTGCATGAAAAATCAAGTGTTTTTCTGCATCTGTTGCAGTGGTGAAATCCAATTTTTTTTACTACCGGTTCTGTGGGCGTGGCTTGGTGGGTGTGGTTTGGCTTGGTGGGCATGTCAGGAGAAGGATACTGCAAAATCTCCATTCTCACCCTACTCCAGGGGAAGGATACTACAAAATCCCCATCCTTTCCCCACTCCTGGGGAAAGGATATTGCAAAATCTCCATTCCCACCCCACTCTGGGGCAAGCCAGAGGTGGTATTTGCCGGTTCTCCAAACTACTCAAAATTTCTGCTACCGGTTCTCCAGAACCTGTCAGAACCTGCTGGATTTCACACCTGATCTGTTGAATTGCTGGGCATTATTCTTAACTAACATAAAGTTGTGAAGAAATCCCTAAAGATAACACTGAGTTTTCTTATGCAATGTTTCTCAATCTTGGGCCCCTCAAGCACTTTGCATGACAAAGCAAATGTTTCTCTGCATCTGTTGAATGATTCACATTATTTATAGCTTGTTCTACTCCCACCTGGAGCACAAAGCCAGGTAGGTGAACTTGGGCCAGTTACATTTTCTTAAACCTAAGAAGGAGGCAATGGTAAATCATGTCTGAAAAAATCTTGCCAAGAAAAGAGATTTATACAGGCAATCTTCAAGATTGGACGTGATTAAGCAGAAGAAGAAAAAAAACAATTAACTCCTGAAAGCTCTGAAGAAATCAGCAAAGCTTCTTGTGCAATTTTTCTCCAATCTAGGCACTTTATGGGTTGGGACTTAAACACCTCAAAAACTACTAGCTAACTTAAATTTTCATAGTACAATATTTCATCTGAGATTAATTTGGCTTTGAAGATTACTGTCAAATACTAGGACTGTCCATATCTTTAAATTCAAAGAGAAAAAGATGTTTCAGGGCATGCAGAGCCACAAACTGCAACTCCTTAAACAAAATGTGCTTTTTTCTGAAATTGCAACAAAATGATTGAATTCACCCATTGCTCTAAGCCAGTTTTGCTTAAGCTTGGTTTGTTGAATAACCACAACAAAATGGGGATGCAGATCATGCTAATTGTTAAGTTGGGTGAATGAGGACTCAGCAAGCCAGGCAGTGAGTGACAACAGCTCTTTATTGTAGGGTGAGAAACCAGCAGGGGAAACAGCTCCCTTTATATACCTTGCAGCTGTGGTGGTCAGCCAATCAGATGATGGTCAGTTAATTCAAACTGCCCTCCCAAAATCTACATACACAACACTCCTCCCCTCCCAGAAGTCACTTGGGGTGGACATTAGCATACGTAGTCCCTCAGGTGACCAGGGCGTGTCCGCACCCTAGTTGACCTGCGCAGTTCAGTCGGAGGTGTGGTGTCGAGCAGGTCGGAGGAACTCCCTGTTTCTCCCTGCTCCGCCAATGGAACCTCTGAAAATTCGTTGTGGGCGGTGACTTCTTCGGCTGACCGATTTTCTGCGATGGGGCGGCGCTGGATCTCGGGGCCGACAGCTAAATCCTCCGCTTGACTCAGGCTTGAGTTAGGTCTGGAGTTCAGTTGGTAGTTAGGGACCGGATTGTCGATGGTATCTTCTGTATCGGCGGTTAAACGCTTCCGTAATTGATCAATGTGCCATCGCCAAATCCTTCCATCTCCTATGTCTACCCTATAAGACTTGGGCCCGGTGACCTCCGTGATTGTTCCGGTTTCCCAGAGGGGCCCGTTCCCGTAATTTCTACTGAACACTGGCACCCCTACTGTAAACTCCCTAAGCCTTTTCTCTGCTTCTCTGAAGTTATCAGGGGAATAACTGGGGTGTAGCCTGTCTAGGACTCCTCGGAGCTTTCTCCCCATTAAGAGTTCTGCCGGGCTTCTGCCTGTGGCAGTGCATGGTGTGGCGTGTTGGGCCATTAAGAATTTGTCTATCCATTCCTGCCAGTCCCCTGGGCCTAGGCATGAGACGGCTTCCTTAGCCGTTCTCACAAATCTCTCCACCAATCCATTGCTAGCCGGATAAAACGGGGTTGATAGTTCGTGTCTGATCCCCAACTCTGCTAGGTACCCCTCAAACTGCGTGGCCGTGAACTGGGGCCCGTTGTCTGAGACTAAGGTGTCCGGTAGGCCATGGGTGGCGAACAATTGCCTTAGCTCTCTAATGACGGCATCAGTGATAATGGTTTTCATGAGTCTGATCTCCAACCACTTTGAGAAAGCGTCCACGAT